GCCTAGAACCTACAGCTAACAACTAATCTCAATTAGCCTAAGCATCTACACAAGCATCACATAAGACACAACTATAATTGACTTAGTCATTCCCTGTTGTAAACAGCAGCTACTTAATTTGGTTATATCCGGAGTTCTACTCAACCAAATACTATGCTCTTAGACTTTCTGGAAAGCTTATAAAACTTCCTACAACTTTCATTTAATCACCAAAAGGTGATTCAACCATTATCCTAGTCAAAATAGGTAAACTTCCCAGGTGTGTCCAGAAATTTTCAGAGAATGAGCATTTTTGGAGACCAACTTCTAACAGCTATAACTCTTAAACCATTTAGTCTATTGTCATGAAAATTTGACACGAGCAAGATAAGTAAGTTATCTACAACTTTGTTAATGACAATATTCACAGCAAACATCGTTTTACCCATACAATTTACTTCACAACCAAAACTGTCCAAACAGTCACTAAAATTGAATTATAAAACAATTAATATTTCACTGCATACAAGCAATCAAATTTGGGCACAACCAATAGTACCAACAGTTCATAAGCATCATATAAACTCTATAAAACATGATGGTCAAGCCCAAGTAAATTATTTAAATGCATTTATTAATTTATTTGGACACTAAGGTGAAATAAGAAAAATATATCAAAGGTGCACCATAAATTCTGATAAAATTATAGTAGCCTACTTATGCTCCCAGAAGTCTACTATACAAATTTCATGCCATTTGGATAAATATAGCCATCTCTACAAAAATGACAATTTGCATAGGCTCATTTTAGTAAAAATAGTTTAGCCTAGTGAAAAGTGCCGAACAAAAGATTTCATAATTTTCTTACATGCATCCTAGTACCATAACACTGTGTAAAATTTTGCATGATCATTAGTTATATATTTTTACCTCATTTCTTTTCACTAGAAACTAGCAATTATTTAGGATTAAATAGGAAGACCATATTTCAAGCATGCTCACTGTAGTTTTAGTATTTTTCTTAGCTAGAGCTTGTCAACACAAGATCATCAAAATTTGAATCACATTTTAATCACTTTCCTAGCTCACGTTATGCATTTTATCAGATTGAAAACATTTAAAAAGCATTTATCTAGCTCTATTTTATTCTCCTAGAAAAATACTAGAAACAGTGCATTTCATATTTTTATCAAATACTACACTTCATGAGGAATCCAACAAAATTTGGTTCACTCAATTTGAACATTCCTAGCTCTAGATATGAATTTTTGAAGTTGGTGTTTAAATCTGTGAAAATAAATAAGAAATTCAAAGCAATACTCAAACTGATAGATGGGGCCCGCAATCAACGGCACCCACCCATCAGCGAACCAGAGCAGAGGCGACGTTTGACCGGCGATAGCTCGCCGATGGTGAGGTCTCCGGCGGTAGCGTCATCACGGTTGCACTCCCTGCGCTCCCCCGTACCTAGTGGTACCCCTCGTTGGACCGGCGGTGTACGGGAGCACCCTCGTCGGCAGCAATGGCGGACGGCGGAGGCAGCGCGGCGGTACGCCAGCATTCTCCGACCGCGGGGTGCGTGGACGAGGCGCATCATGGCTTCACGGTAACCTAACGAAGCTATCTAGGGTGGTTAGGGTTCTGGCGAGGCGGCGGTGAGCTCCGACCGCGTGCATGCCGCTGCGGCGGCGCACAGAGCACGGTGGTGCTCTCTGCGTTTCGGCTAGACAGCGGCGAGAGGCGGGTCTCCGTCATGCCACTTGCTAGATCTATGGTTACTCAACCTAAGACACGCGAGAGAGGAGGGAGGTGATAGGCCAGCTTGACAGCGGCGAGCTTGAGTGTCATGACGGCCATGGCAGCCGCGGCAGTGCGTTCCGGCGCAACCCGGCAGTAGCGTCTAAAAGGGATGGTCGATTTAGATCCTAGGACCTACAGCAAAGACCAGAGGAGGGAGAGAAGGAGCGGAGGTGCATGTGTTGTGGCTGGACATGGAGAGCTCGCGCTCGGCGGCGCACCATGGTCATAGCAGGCACGACGACTCGAATTATGGCCTCACCTTGACTCGAGCAGTCAAATTGGTGGTTCGAGGTGGTAGAGCAGAGCAAGGTGAAGCTACTGGCATGAGCAATTTGGAAATGGAGCGGTGATGGCTGCGCGCGAGCCTGGCGAACTCACGGCGGCGCTACTGCTTGGTGGGCGACAGCAAAGGCAAGCGAGGGCAAGAGGGTGGAAACTGAATGGAGCAGTGAAGTCGCCTCACCCTTAACTACGCTGCTGCCCGACTAGCTAAGCCGTCGCCGGTGTACGGCCACCACATGGCGGCCATGGCCTGGCATGGTCGGACACTGATGGCGCGCGGCGCCTAGTTCAAGTCTGGCATCAGGCCATCTGACAGCGCAAGTTCATCCTCATATATCTCCTAATTCATGGTGAGTTAGCAAAAACTCCATTAATAAAAGTTGTAGAGCTACATGTAAACTCCAACTTTGCTTTTGGGAGTAACATCTAATTCATCATGGTTTTCAAATTGCAAAGCTTCAAAGTAGGTCACTTGAAAACTAAAAACCGGTTTATGACTTAAGAGAAAATTCTAAGTGTGAAAACAGTACTTTGTTAATTCTTGTGAGCCCTATTTGACCATGTTAGGAACTGAATTAGCTCTTGACCCAAAAATAAAAATTGTTACTCTAGTCAAGTACTACAACTTTACTTAAGGGTGCACTACCATGCAAACACTCTATGCTATAGTTCAACTTAGGTCAAACATACATCATGAAAATGGTAACTTACACTATAACCATGACTTAGAGGCCAAATTGGTCCAAGTCATGAATACCAAAGTTGTTCCATGTGACATTCTAAACATGTTTAAGGTACCCCTAAGGTCCCACAAGCATTTCATACATTGGTTACACATAATGGCAAGCACATACTTGCATATAGCTATCCTCACATGTACAAAAGTAAGGTGATTGAGATGAACTTCATATGCTTATGCTCATATATGAAATGAATGTTCCTTAGGCTCATGTAATACAAGTGCAAAAGTGACACCTAGGGTGTTACAGGTATAGCCCGAGCCCTTGGGCGATCCTGCAGGGGTCGGTCGGGGGGGTCTTCTCCATTCGGGAACCATTGGACCCAAGGCTTAACATACCTATATGTTAGGATCTCGTCAGCTGGCCTTCCTAGTTTCCCGAGCATTGCGCTGAGAGTTGGTCTCCCCATCCCAAGCGATGCTATCATGGCTGACCATGAAGAGTTCCCCACCGAAGCGCGCCAACTGTCAATGAGATATCGCCGATAGTCAACTAAGGGGTATACCCACGATGGTCGATTGAAAGAGAGATGCGCATGAATAGGAACTAGATGGCAACAAAGAGACAAGATTTAGACAGGTTCTGGCCATCAGCTCAACGTAATACCTTAATTCTGTGTTCTGTTGGTTTATATTGATGGTAAGATCATTGAATGAATTTCGAGGGGGTCCCCTACCCCCTTATATAGCCTGGGGGTATAGTTATAGGTCGGTTAGATATAAGTCTAATCAGGTAAGCGATAAACTTTATAAGGAATCAAATATTCGACATATCCTAACATATCAATCCCTATGTTTAGGATACCGCCTTGATGTCTTGCAGCGCATGCCGAGCAGTGTCGTACGTCGTAAGTCTTAATCTAGTGGGCTAGACCATCCCTTGATGGTGCGGCCCATGTCTTATGCCGTGGGTACCTAGGGTCATACCCCCCACAACCACCATTGAATCATCACCCACAACATAGTAGTCAACGGACAAATAAACAACATTAACCTCCACCTTCTCTAGAGTGGCTTCATAGTCTACAATCTACTCATATGGGTCCTTAGAGGCATCCTCAACATCTACATCAACATTAGCAACAACAGTGGAGGTGGAATCATCTAGAGACACATCAGAGGCACCCAGGCCTAGAGGAGCCAGCTTAGCCAACTCTAGGTCTTCCAGAGCAGCAGAGGAAGGGTGAGTCAGCTCAGCCAACCTGGCAGTTGGCCCGACCGACTAGGCATAGGTAGGGGTTAGCGAGCAGACTCTGAAGTTGGCCAAGCCAACTAGAGGTTGGTAGCTGTTGTATTTTCATTGTTTGAGGGAAAGTTGAATGTGTGGAGTTGAATATCTCTTCCCTCATCTTCTCTAGCTTCTCCTTCTTTTACTTATTGTGCCAAGCTCGTTCCAACTTACGCCGTTGAGTTTTGGACAACCCTTGAGGACACCACTTAGGTTGCATGTACTTGGGATCTCTCTCAGCACGTGTCTCCTTCTCCACATCAGCAACAACACCTAAAGATTCTTCTTGAGTTGCTGACCGAACCCTTAATCACAATCGGCCCAACATAGTGATGGGAGCCTCCATAGAGCCGATTGTGTAGGAGCAATGGGAATTTCTTTGATCTTCTTGGGCACATAAATCATGGGTGCCTTTCCTGTCTCTTGAGGAGTCAAAGTCCAAGATGTGATCACCGGGCCTTGACTTGCACTGCTAGAGCTCGGTTGACCATTACCTAATCAACTAAAAACTAGTTGTCTAGAATTATAACCAGCAGGCTCTTCCCACCTGTGTTGATGAAACATGGGCACCGATGGAGGATAAGGCACCTAAACTCCATGGGGACCCCATGTGGAGGTTGTGAAACTGGAGGGCCCCAACGAGATACACGAGGAGGAACTCTCTGCGGTGGAGTTGCTGCTTCTGGCACGACCAACTACTTGAACTTATCATCTTGCTTAGTCGAAATAGGCTCTTCTTTTTTTTAATGACCGATTCTCAGAATCGGCCTTTTGTTGTTTATACTTGGACATGAGCCTATCAAAATTGCATTGCTTCTTAATAATTCTCCCTTTGTTCTTCTCATTGGTCTTCCAAGTACCAGTCTCAGGCCTCTATGGAACAAATTTGCAAAGAACGCTCGAACCGAAAGTGTTGGGACTGCTGGAACCAGGGGAGTTGGCTTGATGGACCTGCCTAGTTGGCTTAGCCGACTAGTTAGCTGCAAAAGAGGTAGAGTTAGCCTGGCCGACTGGAGGAGTCAGCCTGGCCAGCCTTTGATGTGCCGCCGCCATCTCATACAACCTTTGCTTGCTCAAGTGCTTTGTTAATCTAGCGATGATCTTCAGCTTGTTTTTGTCATCATCCTTCTCAAGCACCACTTTGTGCCCCAAAATTTTCTCAACATTCGGTGCCACACGTGGTTCGCCAATAATGACATTCTTGCCTTGAGCTTTATCGGCTTGCTCTGGACGAATCAGAACAGCGGGCTCTCCTTTCTCAGCCATACTGATTGGAAAAGGAACTTTATCAATTTGAGACTCAATCGTCACTCATTAAGAACCAATTGGACCTGTCGATGGAAAGCATTGCAATCATTAGTGGCATGAGAAAAAGAGTTATGACATTTACAATAAGCCCTTCTCCTTAACTCTTTAAGTGATGGCAAGGTATAGTTGATTCTAATATAACCAAATTTAAGCAATTCATCAAATATTCTGTCGCATTTAGAAAAATAAAAAATAAACTTTACTTCTTGCCAATTCTTATGAATCAGCTTAAGAGATGGACAAGTAACCAATTTGTTTTGTTCTGGCCACACAATTTCAGTAGCATATAAATTCTTTATTGTCAGGTTTCAAGCTATAGAGATAGCTATTTATGGCATGCATGTTTGGATGATGTGATCTATGAACATCACAAGACTCTTTTAAACGAGATTCGACCGCAATGGCCTTCATAATGCTCAAGCTTTTCTTTAATAGTAGAGCGTAGACTAGCAAAACATAAATCAGTCAAGTCTCTTTTAGTAATCATTAAATGAAAGCATCGGTTCTTAGTGTCTCTAAAGCATTTTAACAAAATCAAGGACGGACTCATCACGCCCTTACCGAACTGATGTAAGGTGAGACAATCTAGTTTCATGGACTCCATTATAAAAAATGCTCATGGAATTTCTCTTCTAGTTCAGGCCATGAACTAATAGAACAAGACCATAATGAAGTAAACCATGCAAAAGCGTACCGGTAAGAGATAGAGGAAAATGACGAACATTCATAAAATCCGTGGTACTAGCTTCACCCATCTAAGCAAGAAACATACTAATGTTCTCCATAGATGATCTACTATCATCACCGCTGAATTTATATAAATTTGGTCCCTCCACATCAGGTGCTTTCAAGAAATCAAAGTGTGATGGGTACGGCTTATGATATGTACCCCTATTGGGTTTAATTTGCACACCCAAACTGCTCTCAAGAGATCTAGACAATTGTTCTTTAAACCGATTCAAAGTTTCATTAAAATCGGTCACAGGAGCATTGGGAGCAACATTGAACGTAGGGATTTGACTAGGTGACTTCGGTGGGTTAGGAAGAACCATATTATACCCTGTCAAAGATCTATTCACTGTTGCCCCTTGATCGGTTCATATGTTATGACCAAATTTGAGGGAAAGTTAATGTCGTGGTCTCCTAGTCCTATATCCGAAAAGGTTATCTACAGTCTATGGGTTTGAGAATCTAGGCGAAAGCCATGCCCGACTTGTCCATGCTATTGATGGCGACGCCCTTGGGCGCCGTTAACCTCCTTGGAGGTATCACTGCAGCCTCTCCACCTATGTAATTGTAGGATATCTCCGGGTGAAAACCTAGCTCTAGATCTCTGGGGCTGGTGGCGGTGGCATCGTTGATGTCGCATCCTACTTGTAGGCGTTGCGTCGAGGGTCGCCTCAAACTTAACCACAACTCTTCTGCAAGGTCCTCTTGCTCGCACCTCCTGTGTGGGGCACAAGCTGGTTGCTGGATGGTGTCTACTGCTAGTGTCCGTGCTCTGACGTTCTCTAGGTTCCTTGATTACTTCTTCTCACCATATGTCGGGTTTGCGGGACCATGATCATTTTTCTTAGATCTCCTCGTTTTCCAATAGTCGGTCTTCCAACCCTTGAGGCTTCCTCCCCTTTAGGGGCGTAGGTGGAAGGCAACTACACCCCGGATGAATTCCATAGAAGATGGACATCACGGCTGTCGTTTGTTATCTTGACTCAGTGCTTTACAGTCGCATCGCATGTGGAATGGAGTTCATCCGAGTTCTGCCTGCTAGTGGTACCCATGAACCACGTTGAAACACTTTTGGTGTCAACACTGTTGATCTGTGTAGCCGGGAAGCGGCGGCATACAACGAGCACGTCGTGCTATTGATGCCGCACAAGCGCCAATGGAGAGGGTGTCCATCCATCACGGAACCAATCGTTGGCAGCTGTGGTCCTCCTGCTATAGCTTGTTATGTGTGTTCTTCTGTACTTTGAGTTTCACCCTTTTGCAGATCAACTGTTTTTTTCTATAAATATCAGTTGATGATTAAGTAGAAGCAGACCAAGATTTGTGTTTTCCAATTTTCTTTGTATCCAATTGAGTATCGAAATAATTATTTGCTTGTGCTGTCTCTCAGTTCATGTAATTCAAAAGGCTGCTGTGCTGCTGCCATTCTTTTTACCCAAACAGATTACAAGCGAAACTAGATACAAAGGTTTTCTAGTGCACCAAGGAATTACAGGAGCTTAAAATTTCATTTGTAAGAAAATATTAAGTTGCCAAATAGGCCCCAAGGGGTTGGAATATACTAACAAGGGTCTCTGACCTTGTGGATATGGGTTCCTGGTAAATGGAATCACGCTCTTGTTGAAGAAACATTCTAGGAGGAAGATGCGAACACTATCCTGTTTGTACCAGTACACATGAAGGTAGGGAAGATATCCTGGCATGACACTATGATGACAAGGACTTTTTTCAGTTAAATCAGCACAAAGGCTCTTTTGTGATGACAAGCAAACGTCCAGTCAGGCAGGGGTTACCTCCACAAGTGCAGGGGAACGGGCAGCAAATAGTGGGTTGCAGAAAATTTGGAACCTAAAGTGTCGTAGTAAAACAGTTCATCTGGAGACTTAGCACATAACTCCGTCGCTCTAAACTGCAACTTAGCAAGAAGAGGTGTTAAACTTGACATAAAATGCCATGTGTGTGGCTGATTGGATGAAGATGGAGGACACTTATTTCAAAAATGTAAATATGCAAAACACGTGTGGTCTGTGGAGAGAACTGAATCTTGAGGGGCTGAGGGAGCAGCTAGCTGGAAAAGGTTCGGCATACCATGTGCTGATGCACATTATTGAGCTAAAACAGCCGACACAACTGAAGGTCCTGCTGTTTTTAAGCAATTGGTGGTTTTAAAGGAATAAACCCGGGGAAGAGGAGAGTAGAAGTGCAGACAGTAGCCATTATCACAGAAAGGCAGGCTGAGGCGTTCCAGGAAAAGACCTGAGCAAGGATTCCTCAAGCTGAATGTTGATGACTCCTTTGATAAAGAAAAAATGACCAGGAGCTGGGGATATATGATCTGGGAAGACTAAGGCGATGTAATCCAATCTGGAGCTGGGAAATTAATCATGTTATCTCACCGTTGCACACAGAAATATGGGCAAGCTTGAAAGGGGTCAAAGCAGCGATAGAGCTGGGCATTGGGCGTCTGTTGCTTGAAACATCCTGGGCGGTGTCATCCGGGAGTTGAAATCTTTGATAGTTGGTGCTCCTAGAGAATGTAACAAAGTAGCACATGCTTTGACAGATGGGTAAAATCCTCTCGGTGGAAGACGACCTTGTAATGTTTGGTGCTCACTCCTATACTTTGTTTGCAGTTGCCAGCGACTTGGCTGGAGCACGGTCTTAATGTAGTCCCCGGATTCTTATTAAAAAAACATTTGCACAAATGCATAACCAGGATTATATGAGATGATCTCATGGCGAGAAATATTATACCAAGTGTGAATACCACGCTGGACTGGAAAAGATAGCATGCCATGCAACATCGCATCTCGCTACAAACTCAACCAGAAAACCACGAATTATATCTGATGCAAATACTTCACATTTCTTCCTTTTTTCCACCCAGAGCTGGGGGTTATGCGTTATTTATAGTCTCAACACAACAGGGATAGCAACCTATTCTATGAATCTGACAAATCTCCAAAGTACAGACAAGTTTACTGGTAGAAATATACACTATACAACACGTGCAATGCTTCAATTCTTCGATCAATCAGATTGCTACACCATCTATCTGGAGTGCGGGTCAGCAAAACCAATGAAGGCCTGCTGGGAACACAAGCCAATCTACATGTGTTCATCTGCACCTCATGTGGATCTGCAATCCATGTGTCAAATAGAATTCGACTACTTTCATGTAACATCGTCATTGTGCTCCCATCTTAGAAAATATCCCAGAGAAATTGGGCAGCTTATCTACATGCTTCAATGCTCGCTCTGCAACTTGTCTTGTCCTATAGTCACCATGCCTGAAGGCCTCCACCAAGGCTGTACCAACATTTTGGTTTCCTGATATCTCATATGCTATTTCGTCCATCCTCAGGATTCTCTCCACTGCCCACACCGCTCTCTGGCGCAGTGCCTCATTTCTGTTCTCACACAATACCTCAAGTATCGGGTTGATTCCTTCTGCATCACACAGCACCATGACACCTTGGTCAATGTCCACTCCATCCTCCAGTAAAGTGGATAGCGCTGCTAGAGCAGCTTCGACTACTTTCTCATTATTATTATCCAAGCAAGCAACTAACTTCTCCACTGCCTTTCCCTCCAAGAGACAGAAGCTCTCCCTTGCAGAACAAATCCCACAGTGAACTCTACAGACCCCAGTTGCTACAGTCTTCTGGCTGAGGCATGGAAATATTGAAAAGCACAACCCTGGGCTGGGAGCAGGCAGTATCTTCGTAAGATGTTTTGACTGCTGTGAGAGTTTCTCTAGCGCAGTAGCAGAGACAATCTGGACAATGTCAAGCCCATTCATCTGAAGCAGATCAGTGAAGAGTGAAGTAAGATTGTAATCACGAGCAACAGCAATGATATCTGGATCATCATCCAAGACAAACGTGATCCGGAAGACTATTCTAACTAGACCTTCGAGGAATGGGTTAACAAAACGCCCCCCACGAATCTCCCCTTGTCGGATTCTTGTAACTTTTTTAATGATTGTTGAAAATGCCCCATCTTGAAGAAGACGTCTGGTGAGGACTGAGTCCCGCATGGGAAGATCAGCTACAAGACCAGCAGCAGCTGCTTGCTCTTCAGAAATACCATTGTTATCAACAATGACCTTGACCAAGCTGCTGAGTTGACTAAAGTTTCCACGAAAAGCATCAGCAAGTTCTTGACCCATATAAGGTGATATGTTATTCAGGAGCTTGATGGAATTCATGCGTACTTCCCTTTGTGGT